TCAGCTGACGGAACGAGGACTTTTCGTGATTGACTTGAGCCAGTTGATCAAAGCTGCTCGCAACGCGCGAGTACAGTTTGCAAAGTCACCGGCTGATACATACGCTCATACGCTGCAGAAGAAGCCGGATCAGACTCACAGACCAACCGTCCGAGCGAGAGCAAAATGCCTGCAGAACTTTCGAATCAGAGCGCAAGCGCACCCGGTTATCGAACAGTTCGAACGAAGTGTCAAGTCGTCCACAAACTACTACTTGGTGGTTCCTTTTTACTTGCGGCACTTGCAACTTAGTTAAGACACTTATAGGACTTAAGCAAGTTGTAAGTAGTACTTAGGGAACTTAGGTTTTATGAGTTTTTTTTATTTATATCCGTAAGTTGTATAAATTACTTGTAACTAACTTATAAGTTCTGTAAGTTCCTGGACGACCAAAAGTATAGTCTCAATCAAGCTGATAAAAAATTCGTTTTCATTTTGCAAACTTTCTATTTTTTGTGACTGTTGTTGTTTTTTGTGTGCAACGCGCTGGAATCTTTCATAAAACACACTTCTATATATGTGAGCGGTCCAGCAGGCGGCTCATTGAGCCGCCAAGCATTGGAAGACAATAGTCACTTGGCGGGGCGGCTCAGGGAGCGAAAAAAAGTTCTTCGCACAGGCTGGTCAAGTCTACCAAAACTATTCTTGTTCTTTGAACTTCAATGACAACTGATGTTCAATGATTGTTTCTTCAACTTGATTCAGCTCAACCCTTTGAAAAATATACAGGGGTTACATATAGGTTGGCTGGTGGTCAATTGGGGGTTAGATCTAGGTTGGCTGGCGGCCCATTGGGCCGCCCAGATGTGTTGGCTGGCGGCCCCAGTGGAAAATACCCTATACTCTAGACCTTATGCAAAGGGTCCTGTACCAAAAGTACTTGTCCTTGAAAAGCAATGCATCAAACATAAACTTTGATTCATTTGCCATTGAACCATTCAAAACAGAACTACCATAGCTCCACCTGATATATCTAAATATTCGGGTTGCTGACCAACAACTTTCAAACACATAAAATCTGACTAGCCGATTGTTTTCACATATCACGAAATCACAAATGTATAAAAATGTATAAACATGTATAAACCAATGCGGACCAAACTATATACATGTATAAATCAACAAATTATCAATTTATACATGTTTAAATCACATCATTTTCAATTTATACATGTATAAACTGATAACGGAATCGATTTATACATGTATAAACATGTATAAAAAAGGTCTAAATTCAATTTCTGATTTTTAAGCATTTTGCTTGTCATGCGATAAGATTTTATCAAATAGGATTCATTTCTCAGAGTTGCCAACCCCACCACCTCATGAGTTTAGACATTTCCTGACTCCCTGATTTTTAAAAATCCAGGAGTCAGGATTTAAGTTTTGCTGATTCAGAGTTTTGCTGATTGAGTGCAACAATGTTTTTTGTTTGCTGGCTCCAAGTGTGTGCTGCTCACACGTCCTCAGCTGCCGGTACTGCTGAACATGGAGCCTGTGCAAAAAAAAAGTATAAATATTCTTGGCTTAGGGCGTGAGACCCGACCTGCTGCTCAATGAGCCGCAGGTCTATTTTTGAACAAGAGCGACACCCATCATCAGCCATGATCAAGATGGCACGCGGTATATGTATATATATATACATATTTTTGCATGAGACACAACCTGCGGCTCAGTGAGCTGCGTGATGAACATGCGATCGGAGCATGAACTCGATTTCAAGTTTAAGAATCAAAGTGCAAAAAGACACGATTTAATCAGTTTTTGTATAAATGAAAAAACTTGAACTTTGATATCTCAAAAAAGTTAAGTTCCCTAAGTTAGGTATAACTTATTTTGACCAATTTTTGATAATCTAGATATAGAACTTAGAAATTTCTAACTTTCGCTAACTAACTTGCAGGTGCCGCATCTTAACATAAAAACTTGTGCTAGTTACAGAACTTGTAACCCCTTCGTAACTAAGTTACCAACCACTTACAAGATACTTACAAGTTCCCTAGCCAAAACGGAACCACCAATCAGGTCCGACATGTCCGTCGTTCGCAGCGCCGTTCAAGCCGACCATGCAATCGCTCCGTGAGTGCCTCATCGTGCGCAGGGCCCCGGAGCGATCCCGCGCTGGAAAGTCTGACCATCGAGGACCTTCAGGGAACCGCGATCAACTTCGGCAAGAAGCACAAGGGGAAAACCTACCAGACGGTCTGGGAGACCGATCAAAACTGGGTGCTGTCGACGCTCAGCCACTACAAAGTGACGTCGTATCCGGAACATCGCAAGTTCTTCAAGTTTGCCACCTTGAAGATAGAAAAGAGGCCGAGAATCTTGGAACCAGCGTCCCAATCGAGCCGAACGAGATCCCCTCTGGGTCACAGGCTTACTCGTGGACCGGCTACGAGTCGGAATAGATGAGTGGGAGCAACCTTCATAGGGGATATTGTTGACCCATGTCCTAATGCCTATGAAGCCGTCTCAAACGAAACGCCAGCAGCTTCAAGAGACCTACAGGTATCACAAGAGCTTGGGTGCTTTGCAGAGTACGGTTTCCGAATCTGAAGGTGGACATCTAGAGATGGTCTTTTTGCTAAGAGTTCTCCCGTATGGTTGGTCCATGGTTCATCCCGATCACAGTCTTTGTGGTCCCCAGGTCCAAAATCCCAAAACTGGAGTGTGATGTAAAGCAAATGTCTTGGACGTGTGATGCTACTTCATCAACAACACGCTTGGGGCCGACCTGACAATGGGGCTGCGGCACCATCGAAAGGTTGGGCATCGGAGTCGATGAACTCGACTCCAGAGACTGGCTCTCATGAGAGCAACGACGACTTCTGATCCTGTCGAGCAATGTCGGTCGATGCGGTGATTCTTCTTCTCTTCCCCGAACCCTCAAATGGTGATTCATGACCCTATCTTTCAGAATCTTGAGGGTATCCCAAAAATGTTCCCCTGTGACAAGGTGGTAGCGTGGCAGTCAGGGTGGTTGATGGCGCTGTCCGTTCGGGCAGCTCGAGAAGTTCAAGCGGCGATCCAAGATCTGCAGTGTTGTAGGCCTCCGTCATGGAGGTCGGCGGAGCTGCGGATGCTGATCCGGAGCGGTGGGGTTGGATCTGAAGGGGCATTCGGCCTTCCAATGACGGCCGCAAATGCGGCAGTTCGACGACAGGATGCGGACCTGGAGGGTCTTGCGACCTGAGGACTGACCCTTCCCGGATCCCCAACTTCCGAAGCGACCGCGGGCGTTCTTTTGCCCTTTGAGCTTCCCTTGGAAAGAGGCAAAAAGCCCCGGTTCCTGAACCTTTCGCCCAGCTTCTTCCTTGCTTCAATGTACGACGTATCCAGTTCTGAATCTGTCTGCGCCAATTCCTCGGCAGCGGCCTCAAAATCGAGGATCAATGCAGCTTCATCGTGGCCTTCCGAGGCCATGGCATGGATGAAGTATTCTCAGTCAGGTCACCTCCATACAGCACTTCATCCTCGGCTTCCGCCTCATCACCGACAGCTTCTGTTGAAGTCCAAGTCATGGCGGTAGCGTCGTGGAGTTTTCTGGTCGACTGCTTTTGGGCAGCCAGGTCCTGGAAGAAGGATGCTCCAAGAAGACGTATGGCCTCACTGACGCGTTGAACCGTCAGGCGGCCGTCCATCGATGCCTCTGCCTCCAAGATCACTCGTTTGCGATCCTCAGAGAGGACCACGTGGAGCCCCTGATCATCGCGACGTAGGCCTACTCCACAGAATGTCGGAGCGAGCCAGAAAACTGTCGTTGCTCTCGTCATTCCTTTGGGAGCAGCTGAACAAGACATCTTCTGCTTCTTGTTACCTCTCTTCGAGGAACCGACTTGGGATCATTGTTGAGGAGCTCCTTCTGGTGCAGCTGCAATTTGGCAAATGCAAACCCCTTTGCGCCCAGGATCAGGCGTGCGTTAAGCTCTGACAGCTTACCGGTCGGCCAAATGGCCGCCAGCAATTCCGCCTTCTGTCGGTATGCCTGGAGATCATCAACTCCTGGTGTAAAGCTGGGTATGCACCTGTGAACCGGACGACTCACTTTCGCCAGCCATTGCGCTCTGTCACCTTGACTTCCCCAAAAAGGGCAGCAAGTTCAAGCAGCAACCAGCCCTCGAAGCTTGCTCCATGCTCAATGTACAACCGACTCAACACCAACGTAGTGGCAACCAATGCGCTCAATGTTGGTCGACCACGCAATCTGACAACCGACAATCAATGTACGCGCGCAAGGAAAACAATGTTGTACCACCAATGTATCAACTCAATGTTCAACCAACAACAATTGTGTAAGCAACGTGAGCAAGCACAACGATCGAGCTCGAAGCCAAAGGACTCACGCTATCCAACAATGTCAAGCCTGGTCAAGACACCAATGGAAGCGGATGGGAGCTCCGCTACCAATGTGAGTCCCGAAGAATCCGCACTGGTAACGGTGCTCCCACCGCGCCGTCCCACGAAGCGCTCCAGCGGCAGCAACTCTTTCTTCGGCCCACCTGGGTCCACGAGGAGATCCCTGTCTCCTATTGGCGCTTCCAGCGCCGCAGTGGCCTATGACACGGATCAACCACCCGCCCACCCTGAGGACCCTGTCCTGGGCCAAAGGCCTCGGGTGAACGGAATTCGACACGCTCAAAGGATCCTGGTGATCTGAACGTGACGAAACCTGCTCAAACAGTTATGCAATCACAATATAAAAATATAAATGTATAAAGTGTATATATATATATAGTCAGGCCCAATGACTCAGCAGCTCCTTTGACATCCCGACGTCTCACAGCGCCCGCGTTATATAATAGCTTGCAAATGCACACGGAATAGGGGTTGGTGGATACTGTTTTTTTTGGTCGCGTATGAATGCTGCTCAAGGCTTGTACGGCTTTTGAGCTGCGCTTCTTTCACATGTACCCTAGTTTTGATTTCTTTGCGATATTTTTGGTGCAATCTTATGAACCCAGGAAAGAGCAAGCGCTGAACCGCGTGAGGGATTTGGCCTATTTGGCGCCTTGCCGGAAGGGTCAAGATGATGTTATGCGCCGGTGGGGCGCCGTCCACTTCCACACAAAACCAACGCAGTGGTCATTTTTCATCGATTGAACACCAGTGAAATGGCCCTAACATGAATGGGGAATGCCCATGTCTATCAGGTCGTCCAGACCCTCCCAAACTAGTCAGCAGATACGGGGTGGCCGAACTGCATTGTGACAACAAAATTGGAGTCGGAGTTTGGCGTTGATGATTCATTTTTGAGAATGAATTATGTTCATATGGTTCTGGCAATTCCTTTTTGCTCTTTGGTACTCTAGTTCCATTCTTTCACCTCTCACTGCGCTCGCAAGCAAGGAACACGTAGGTGCCACTCCACGCAAGCAGGGAAGCAAGGCAGGGTGGTTTTGCGCGGCGTGCGCAAGGTGCACAGTGTCCTGCGCGCTACTTTCATCAACTGTGAGTGTTTATTGTCTGGTGTGATGATGTGATTGTGTTCGTGGGGTGGTTTCCAATCCTCACAAGTACATGCTGATAGCCAGCGCAACAGAATTTAGTTGTTGGTTGCCATATCAAGCATGATCCTTGGTCGCACCGCTTTTGAATAGAACCAGAACAGCCATGTTCACATGGAAATGAATTTTTTGCCTTGAAGTCTACGAAGCCTTGAAGATTTGCAAGCTGAAGCTGGCAGACCAGATCTCCATCCTGTCGCCACAAGAAGCAGCCTCCACGGACTCTGCGGTAGAAGCGGTTGACACTGAAGCTTGCCAAACTCAGGCCGCTGAGTGTTTAACATGCTCTCGTTTAAGCATGCTAAATCTTCCTAAAAGCCTAGGAACTAAATCATTAGTGTGAGGGCTTCTTCAAGGAAGCTCCCTGCCACCCTCAGGCGGGGGGAGCTTCCTTGAAGAAGCGTGAGCTATCCTGCGCCCAGTAGGTAGTAGCTAACTTAACCTAGTAGCGCACTCCCCCCTACGTCATTAAGTAGGCGCCTACTTAACAAAGTAGGGAGGGGGGAAGGTTGGCGAAAAACAAGTGCATCCGCGGTCTGCTTGACAGGTTGAGATGTTGCCTGAGAAGCAAAGTACGGTGGCTCCAGAGGTGCCTTTGCCTGATCCGGATCCGATGCGCGCAACAACACCACGCACAGCGACCAGCGCAACAAGGACTTCAACTGGTGAACACAGGAGCGCGTTTATTGGCTTCCTAGATAGCAAGCTGGACAGATTTTTACGAATGATGCCAGGAATCCTTCATCTCGCGAGAGGAATGGAACAGCTGCCAAGTCAGTCTTGCGAATCGCCAGTGACACCCTGCAGGCAAGACGTGCCTAGGCTGAAGCTTCTCACGGGAGTACACATGACAGAATGGGTGAGCCGGGCGAGCAAAGTGCTTTGGGTTGTGGCCCCTCTGGCTTTGGGCAGTGCCTGTTTCAGCCAAGAGTTGAACAGCTTCACTGCATACTCGAGACCGACTCGATAGAGGGAGGGAAGGCCGACATTCCTGCTGCCAGAGAGTGCAGTTTCCCTTGCTGATTTTGTTGGGGACTTATATACATGTTGTTTGGTAGAAGACATGGGGGCAGTTTTCTTGTTTTGGCAGTTTCATGGTTTGGAGCCAAGTTTTTTTGTGGAAAGCAGGTCGAAGGGTCTTGTTATTTCACGTGGTGAGGGGTGATAACTTCTCTTGCTGGTGCAATCCTCTGTGATGGTTCACTCCTGTACTTGTACTCGCCGTATATTTTTTGTGGCGCCCTCCAAAGTTTGTGAAAGCTAGAGCATGATTTGAAGGTGTCACTTGTTTATATACCGGTTCGGATTGCTGCGTTGTCGAGGGATGAAAGATGTACCTTTAGTTGGCATTCTAGGATGAGAGACATCCTGAGATGAGATCAGTCGATATACTATACTGTTGTTGTTGTTGTTGTTGTTGGTGGTGGTGGTGGTGGTGGTAGAAACAAAACAGCCGCCCAACATAATTGTCACATGTTGTAACTGTGGAACTTCAAGGGAACAAGGTTAGGGATACGGTTGAAGGTTTGAGCGAATGTTGGTTTCGTAAGTAGGTGGACTTGTTGGACTTGTTTCACTGAAGTCTGAGCTTGTCCGTTTTTAGTGTTTTTCTCCACATTGACGTGTGGGGTTTTTGTTTTAGTGTGGTATCCGCTCCTTCCTTCCTTCCTTCCTTCCTTCCTTCCTCGCTCCCCACCTAATTGCCACCAACCAATTGCCACCCACCAATTGTCACCAACAAATTGCCACCCACCAGTTGTCACCAACCAGTTGTCATCAACTAATTGTCACCCACCAATTGCCACCAACCAACTGTCATGAACCAACTGTCATCAACCGCATTGTCATCAACCAATTGTCATCAACCAATTGTCATCAACCAATTGCCACCCACCAATTGTCATCAACCAATTGCCATCAACTAGTTGCCACCAACTAATTGCCACTAACCAATTGTCACCAACCAATTGTCACCAACCACCAGTTGTCACCAACCAATTGCCACCAACCAATTGTCACCAACCAATTGTCACCAACCAATTGCCACCAACTAGTTGTCACCAACCAATTGTCATCAGCCAATTGTCATCAACCAATTGCCACCATGCACCAATTGCACCAACCAATTGCCATCCACCAATCGCTATCAACAAAATGCCACCAACTAATTGTCACCAACCAATTGTCACCAGCCAATTGTCATCAACCAATTGCCACCCATGCACCAATTGTCACCAACCAATTGGGGTCGGATGTGCGCCCTGGGGTCGCTTGGTCGCTGCAGCTTTGATTTGCTTGGCAGGCGCGGTGCTTGGTGGTCTCCAAGGGGTCGGATGTCAATGTGCGCCCTGGGGTCGCTGGGTCGCCGCAGCTTTGCCGGTGCGATTTGCGTGGCAGGCGCGGTACTTGGTGCTCTCCAAGCGGTCGGATGTACGCCCTGAGGTCGCTTGGTCTACGCCGGCAAAGCGCGGTACTTGGTGCTCTCCAAGCGGTCGGATGTACGCCCTGGGGTCGTTTGGTCGCCGCAGCTTTGCTTGGTGCTTCCAAGGGGTGATTTGCGTGGCAGGCGCGGCGCTAAGGGGTCGGATGTACGCCCTGGGGTCGCTTGGTCGCCGCAGCCCTGCTAGTGTGATGGGGTCGCTTGGTCGCCGCAGCTTTGCCGGTGTGATTTGCGTGGCAGGCATGGTACTTGGTGCTCTCCAAGGGGTTGGATGTACGCCCTGGGGTTGCTTGGTCGCCGCAGGTTTGCCGGTGTGATTTGCGTGGCAGGCGTGGTGTTCTGGTGCTCTGGTGCTCTCCAAGGGGTCGGATGTCAATGTACGCCCTGGGGTCGCTTGGTCGCCGCAGCTTTGCTGGTGTGATTTGCGTGGCAGGCGCGGTACTTGGTGCTGTCGCTTGGTCGCCGCAGCTTTGCCGGTGTGATTTGCGCGGCAGGCGCGGGGTACTTTTTGCTCTCCAAGGGGTCGGATGGGGTCGCTTGTGATTTGTGTGGCAGGCGCGGTACTTGGTGCTCTCCAAGGGGTCGGATGTACGCCCTCGGGTCGCTTGGTCGCCGCAGCTTTGCCGGTGCGATTTGCGTGGCAGGCACGGTACTTGGTGCAAGGGGTCGGATGTACATGGTGCGCGCATTGATGTCCTCTATACGCATACATACGTGATCCATCACCTGCGAACTCGACCACCATTCAGATGCACACGCGCGTCACGTATACACACGCGCAGGCGCAGTGAGACAAACCATCAACTGCCGACCAACAACCACCGGTTGTAGCTGGTGTGGTGTCACCCGGTTCTTTTATTGTGTTGTTCTGGAGGGGGGTCCAAAAACCAACAACGGGGCTACAGTCTTTGTTTCTAGGAGTGGGTATACCGTAAGACATACACTTAGAACATCTTTTGGGAAAATTTTACTTTTTCACAGGTGACATGTTCTAAGTGTATAGGTCGCGATGTTCTAAGAGTATGTGCCAGCAGATGTTCTAACCCTACAGTTAGAACATCCCAGGCCCTCGCACCTACACTAAGAACATAGTCCGACACCTACGCTTAGAACATATCTTTAATGTGTTTGGGACATTAAGATGGAATAGTTGTGGGGGCTTAGAACGATGGCCTCCTACCTAAGAGTTATGGCCTCCAACCCAAGAGCCATG